GTAGTCCCAGTTACTAGGGAGGTTGGGCAGGAGGATCGTAAGACCAACCTAGGCAACAAAGTGAGATCCTGCCTCAAACACAAAATAAACAGACTCTTCTCAGGAATTTCAACCTTCATGGCCTTAAATAGATAGCAGCCTACAGCCGTGGCTGGCAAGGTTTTGCTGCAAAGAATCAGATAGGAATTTTGTTTGAAGAGGAAAGGTTTATTTTGCTCCTGGTTGCAGACTGTGCCATCCATCATGGCATTTTTGTTGTGCTTTGCTTTGTTCTGTTTGCTTATTCTAGCAGGAGGAAGCAGAAGAAAATGGACACTAAATACAACAGGGAAGCAATGTATCTGGGAGGTTGAGATAGATGTTAGTCAAAGGATACAAACTTTCAGCTAGCTGGAGGAATACTTCAAGAGATTGAATTGTTGGATATGATGACTACAGTTAGTAACAATGTCACAAATTCTTGAAAACTGCCAAGCAAGTAGATTTTAAGTGTTCCCACCAGGAAGAATCACGGATACAAAGGGGTAAGGCAGTGTTAATTAGCTTGACTTAGCCATTCCACGTTATCTACATATCTACATATCGGCTGCTACAGACACACACAATGTTTGTCAATGTAAAAAATAAATTTCAAAGAAACTGTAAGAAAGGAAGTGACCAGTGATAAGGGAACACTGCAAAGGAAAGCAGGTGGGGGGGATGAGGGGCCAGCTGAGCCTCACTGAGCAGTGACAGTTGGGAAGGACTTAAAGTGGATCCAGTTGGATCTTGGGGAAGAACATACAGGTGATCTTTCTGGAAGGGTGGGTGTGACAGGCCTGGCTGGGAGAGGCCTGGTGTACCAGGAACAGGAAGGAGGCTCTGTGGCTACGGCAGAGAGCAGGAGGGTGGGGGCTGGAAGCCATGTTGTCAGAGAGACCAGGGGGACCACACATGCAAGGTCCGAGGACATTCACTATAAGAAATTTGGATTTACCCACGATGAAATGGGGAATTGCTGAGTTTTGAACAGAGGGAAATGGATCTGGCTGATTTGTAGAAAACAGGCAGACAACGGGGGACAAAGGTAGCGAAACTAGCTAGAAATCTCGTAATAATGCAGGCAAGCTATAAGGGTGACCTGGCCCCTCATGGGGGCAGAGGGGGTGAGAAAGTAGTTGGGTCTGTGTGGAAAGTAGAGTCACAGGCATCTCCCAGTGGCCAGGATAGGGAGTATGACGGCAGTTGGGAAGTACACAGCTTCCCTCAGGTAAGTGGGGCCGGCACCATGGAAATGAGACTGAGTGGGGATCAGGAGTTTGGATTCAGATCCAGGGCCTCATGCTCTGCCCCTGGGTCGCTTCCAGCCCCACTGTGGAGATCCTGAGCCAGCTGCTTCCAGCGTACAGAAGGATCTGGTGTGGGGAATGCCACCTGTGAGTCACTGCCACACAGATGGAGAGCTAAAAGCACAGAGTGAGAGGGAAAATGAGCATGAACTTGGTGCTGGAGACAGCAGTGGTGAGAGGCAGGGGAAAGGCAGGGACCAGCCAGGGAGGCTGGGGAGGAGCTCTAGTGGGACAGGAAGGGCACAGTAGCCAGGGCAGGAGGGACAGCAGCCTGTAGGTGTTGCTGGCAGGTCAAGGATAATGAGGTCTGAGGGCAGGCAATGGAGATAAGCAACAGGATTGTGACTGGGGACCTGGGCCAGCACAGTGCTGGGGGCATGGTGTGGACGAGTGGGGTGAGTTTATGTCAATGAGAGGAGAGGGGACGAACTACAGGCAGTGGGTGAGGAGCCATTTGAGAACTTTTGCTGCAAAAGGAAGCAAAGAAAGGCTGGTCACTGGTGGGCAAGAGAGCAAGAGAGAGGCTTCGTTCTCTTTTGTGGATGTGAAATATAACAGTGCATTTGAGTATTGGTGGGGATGACCTAGAGAAGAGGGAAGCACCCATGCCCCATACGTAGAGGCAGGAGGGAGGAAGAACTGAGGGCATAGAAGAGGGCCTGGTAGAGACAGGCACACCCTCAGGAGTGTGTCCAGATGTGGGTACAGATGCTGACAAGAGGAGGGAGGGTGGCATGAGTCTGGGCAGGTTTTCTTGTGATTGCTTTTACTGTGTCAGAGACATAGGAGGCAGGCAGTAAGGCTTGGAGAGGAAGTGGGGGTGGTCCCCTGGGAGAATGGGAAGTCAGCTGTCCACGGGTCTGCAGCCTGGCCACTTAGCAGCATTTGGACCACTGAGACGGCCAACAAATGAAGACAGAGTACTTACTGGTCTTGAAGGCATTTGTTCACTATTTATTCATAACCTTTCTGGATCAACTTCTCCCCCAAAGGTACAAATGCCACTCAGGGTCGAGATGAAACCAGTATTAATATTTAAATATCAGGAAAAGAGTTTCCTAAGATGACCACCAGAGCGGTGGTGCTGTGGAACAAGACCCTGACAGGGTCGACAGCTCGATGCAGAGCTATTAGATCTTATCCTAAACCTATCCTGGAATTTGGAGCTTAGCACCTCGCGGCTCACTCATGCAGGGTGGTAGGAAGGGGCAAGGGGCTGGGTACACTTTCTGTTCACAACACAGAAGCCAGCAGACACTTTTTAATAGTTGACCTAGGAGCCGATGCTGGTGGCTCACGCCTGTAAACCTAGCTACTTGGGAGGCTAAGATTGAAAGGATCACAGTCCAAGGTCAGGCTGGGCAAATAGTTCATAAGACCCTCTCTCTAAAATAACCAGAACAAAATGGACTGGAGTTATGGCTTAAGTGGTTGAGCACCTGCTTTGTAACCACAAACCTCTAAGTTCAAAACCCAGCCCCACCAAAAAAAAAAAAAAAAAATAATAATAAAAGAATTGACCTAGGGCTGGGGTATGGCCCAGTGGTAGGGTGCTCACCTAGCCTGTGGGAGGCCCTGAGTTCCAATTCCAGCACTGCAAAAAGCACCACCACCAACAAACTGATGTAAGGACAACTCACAACAGACCTCCAATGCAAAACAAGACATTGGCCTGAGGCACCAGGAAAGGGGAGTTTATGCTAACAGAAAAGAAAGGAAGACACAAAAATAAATAAGTCCGTAAGGAGAAACTGATAAAAATGGTTCCCATTATTTTGGCTAAGCTGCTGTATAACCCATTTCACATGAAAGCCAACACACAATGACTAACAGTGCAATATTTAAATCATCAACATTTTGATTCTCACTTTCAGTACTAAAAGCCTAAAAATGCTACCAGACTGATACCCACAGGTCACTAGAAACTGATCAGGACCTGGTGAAGCTAGAAATATTATTTCATTGAATTCTGCATTTTAGTTACTCAATGGGAACAAACCTTATCATCCATTCATCCATAAAAATATCCCATAGGTACTACTTAGGTGCTCATTTCAACAATAGCCCCGTGTAAACTGAGCCTACGTTCTTTCCAGACACAGGACACATCTTCTCTGCAGATATTCTTTGGATGAAAACAAAATGTTTGTAAACCACAAAAATCATCTAGATCATTAACAAGTCATCTTTTTTTTGTTTGCAGTAGTGGGGTTTGAACTCAGGGCCTACACATTGAGCCACTACACCAGACCTTTTTTGTGAAGGGTTTTTAGAGATAGGGTCTCTCTAACTATTTGCTGGGGCTGGCTTTGAACTGCAATGCTGCGGATCTCTGCCTCCTGAGTAGCTAGGATTGTAAGCGTGAGCCACTAGCTCTGGGCTCATTAACAAGTTTTACACAGCATCACAAACCAATTCAACCACACAAGAAATCATTAAAGATTTTGCATGCCACTTCAAGTTCAAGATTAGTTCTACCAACAACTTTATAATATTTTTATCAAAAAACAAATTTCATCATTAAAGATTTAAGAACGTCTGAAATTCTTTTAAAATCTGCTCTGCAGAACCCCCTCACACATGAAGGGCATGTGAATTAGTACAAGCCCTTTGGAAAACCACAGGTCCTAATCTACTATGACTGCACATAGATGTGGCCTTGACCAAGCAAAGCCACTACTGGACAAATAAGAAGAAATGTGCTCAGATGTGCACCGAAAGTCTTAGATAAAACGGCTGCACAAGCACCATTCATTTTATCCCTGAACTGGAATCTAGTCACCTAGTGGCAACAGACTGGGTGACTTGTGGGAATTCTTACAGCTAAATCCTACAAGCAAGGAAAATAAGTAGATTCCCACCTAGCAACACCAGACATGAGTGTCATAGGTATAAGGCAGAGAACAAAGGCAGCCAGACACAAAAACAATTGCATACCAAACGATTTCATTCATATAAAACTCTTTTTTTTTTTTTTTTGCAGTATAGGGTACTGAATCCAGGGTCTGTAGCTTGCTAGGCAGGTGCTCTACCACTTGAGCCACAAGCCCAGTTCACATACAAAACTTAAAAAGGAACCGGGGATCCAAGCTGCTGGAAGTCAGGAGAGTTGGTTGCCTTTGTAGAGAGGTCAGAAACTAAAGAAGCCAGGGGCGTCTGAGCCAGTCACTTTCTGTGTCTTGAGCTGGGGGCTGGTTTCACGGTTGTATTCACCCTGTAATAATTTCTGGAGTCGTATACTCATGATTTGTACACTTCTCTATATATCTGTTATATTTCACTAAAAAGTTTGCTGAAAAACAAGCTGCTCCAACAGTCATAATAAATAAATAAATAAAGTGAAACAAAAAAACAATGGTGCCTAGAGCCTGGGCTGCAGCTCAGTGTTACAGCATTTGCTGAGTGTGTACAAAGCCCTGGTTTTAATCCCCAGCACTGAAAAAAGAACAAAACACTGAGTCTAAAAGCAATAACTTGGCTTCTATTTTTTTACTGGTTCATAAAGATTAACTTTCTGCTTAAAAAGCAGCTGTTTATATTAAAACATTACCTTACGTTAAAGGGGAAAATGTTCAAAAGATTATACACTTATACTGTAAAATGAGAATATAAATTATCCTTACATCCACTTGCAGTTAAACACCAATGCAACCTATTTCATCACCAACTTACCTGAGCTGCTTTGCATAGCTGAGTTCAATCTCAGCCCTTTCCTTTACAAATTTGATGTATTTCTCAAGAATATCGATTCCCCACTGCGTGTGTTTTTCTAAGTTGTCGAATTGATCCTGTTTAAGAGAGAGACAGAGAAAGAGTTTATAAATCTTTCTCCGTGATTAACATAATTTTAGTGAATAATTCTCTTCATAATACATTGCTGCGTAGAAAGTAACACTAATATTTTCCATGATTACACTTGGGTGCTTTTTTGTGGAGCAGTTTTAAATCAACATTACCAAATTAGGTTTGAAAACTGCCTAGAGTACTGCTCTCTGACCCATTCATTCATGTTCCCCATTCCTTCTAGAAACATGTTTTTGGGGATATAATTAACATTCCAGTAAAAAGGAAAATGCCTTTCTCAGACACCAAAAACTGATAAGTCTCTCTCTCTCTCTCTCTCTCTCTCTCTCTCTCTCTCTCACACACACACACACACACACACACACACACAGAGTCACACTATTACCACCTTATCACTTTATCACTGGGGGTCAGCACTTAAAACAGCTGATTGAATTGGATCAAGGAAGTTGGAGAGGAGAAGAGCTATAAGATTCTGACTTCTCTAAACGAATAAAATAACTGACGCGGACTTCGTTTACACAAACATAACATCAAGCACACACCGTGTGCCAGGAACCAAAATGAAGGGAGATAAGCTGCACCTTGCAGAGGCCTGGAAGATCCTGTTTGGAAGAATGAGAGGGGAAGCCATGCCAGCAACAGCTAATGCCAAGGCATGGAGGTGCCCAGAACTCAGGGGCATCTGTGCTCTCTGAGGTGAGGGTGAGTGTGGCACAGGGACTGGGCGGTGGTTCTGAGCTCAGAGACAGCGGGGCAGACCATCCTAGGCCTCAAATGCGTTATGAGGTGCTCAGACTCCCATAGCCATAGCAGAACCTGCAAGAGGAGTGGCAAGACCATGGGTCTGCCTGGAAACATCTCAAGAGAGAGTGTCCTGATGGGAGAAACGAGCAAATGGGAGTCACAGGGAGGCATCACTGAACAAATAGAATCAAGTAGCTGTGGTAACTGACTGGGTAAGGGGCAGTGTGTGGGGGGGGTCAACTAAGATTTTGCCGTGATTAAATAAATGGTCCAAACAAGGAGGTGCTGAATTTTGGGGTGAAAATTAAATGTACTTTTGACAGGTTGCACGAGGGTCTGGTATGTCCAGAAGGGAGCTGGGAGCACAGATCTACTCAAGCTCGAGGAGGGAGGCCAGGGTGTCAGTGCCAAGATCAGAATGGCAGAGAGCAGGCAGTGCTGCATGGAATTAGCGGAGAGGGTCTGGCCCAGGAAGCAGAGCCCAGAAAGACTGTGGAAGGGAGCCAGCGAGAGCATTAGCACATCACAGAAACCAGAGCACCAAGAGAGGCCAAGATGGAAAATTTGCTGCTTCCTGAGGTAAAGAACAGAGAATGAGGCCTCCAGCCCCAGCAACAGTGCTTCCCAGAGACAGACCACCACCGTCTCACTTTTCAGTGCCTGCGTACAGCATGTGGACCGACTCCTGCCTAAGTTCCACAAGTCAGTCATAAGGATCGTGCAAAATGGAGGGACAGGCCAAATCCAAAAAAAAACAAAGCCACTCTTTAATCCTGTCACGTGCAGTGCAACATAACAGTGTACACTCAGTGCCACAATACAGCTTCCTTTTTTTTGTTTAAGTCACTTTGTTAAGGTATGATGGACATTAAAGTACTGTACATATTTAACCAGCATGGTGGTGCGTGCCTGTAGTCCCAGAACTCACAGGCTGAGTCAGAAGGATTGCTTCAGCCAGGGACTTCAAGGCCACCATGGGCAACGTAGCAATGTATGCAACTCGGTGAGTCTGGAGATAAGTATATATTCACAAAGCCGTTCCCACACTCTACCCCATAAATATGCCCACCACCTCCAAAAGTTTCCTCTTGCCCTTTCGATATTTGTGTGTGTGCGTGATAAGAACACTTAACCTAAGATTCAAACTCTTCATAAAGTTTTAAGTGTACAGTGTGGTGCTGTTATGCTCAGCTTGATTTTTAAATTTAATGCCAACTAAACTACTATCGTGCTTCGACTATTTTCCACTTGCAAAGAGTAAAATCAACCCATTTTCTACGTAAGTCAAATTTGGGTAGCAGAGGGGAAGGCAGGTGGCAAAGTCAAAATCACTGACTCTTTAACTTGAGAATCGTACTCCGAAAAAAATAATTTCCTTGGCTGGGCAGTGGTAGCTCACGCTTGTCATCTTAGCTACTTGGGCAGCAGACATCAGGAGGATTTCAGCTGGAGACCAGTGAGGGCAACAAAAGTGAGACCCTATCTCAAAAGTACCCAACATAGAAAAGGGCTGGTGGAGAGGCTCAAGTGGTAGAGCGCCTGCCAAGTAAGCATGAGGCCCTGAGTTCAAACCCCAGTATCACACACACACACACACACACACACACACACACACACACACACACAACACACACAATTTCCTCAGTCTTACTGCACCCAGGCCCACAGAACAACCAGAGAGATCTCAACTTGGGAAACCAAGGTGTTCCTTTACCAAGATGTTTCTCTAATTGAAAATAATCACTGCAAAATGTTTACCTTTGAAACCAATTGCTTTCAATATTACCATAGAAAACAAGGGGTAGATACTTAGGGCTCTCATTGATTCTAGGTCCTCAATGATATCTTCCACACCCCCAATTCCATTTCAAGCAAAAGCTGCCAGGAAGATTACTTATTTATGTTACCTCTAAGGAAAAGGGTTATAGAGCAAAATGTAGTGTAAACAAGACTGTAGGCCTCTTTAAACTACGTGAAAGAGCAAATACACAAACAATTTACAAATCAGACCTACTCACGTAGAGTGAGACTTCTGTAGAGGCCTCTGCTAATCAGCAGCCTTACGTTAGTCTAGTTTTGTGGTGAATATATTTATTTAAAAAATGGTAAGCACCCTCCCTCCACTTGACTCTACTCTCTGCAGAACTTCCCAGCTCCTCCAGAGCCTGGGTTAGTCTCAGCACCACAGGTGCCAAAAGGTTGCTGAGAGCATCAGCTCTTAGATTCCGCTCTTGTCCTGCCCCAATCTGACTGTATATTTTCCCTATATTAGCTTACAATTCTTTTTAGCCTCTAAAGCAAAAGTTTTTGATACCCAAGTCCTTAAAAACAACAACAAAATCCTTCTACATTTGAATCTGGTCCACCTTAAAGATTACTGGCCTCAAACCAACAATGTGGTTTCAATAAAGTTATCTGTATTCAAGACCATTCTGCAAGCTGTGCCAAAGTGCTTACTAAAAGGACAGGGTCCAAAGTAAGAAAGATTTTAGCAATAAAAGCCTGAAATAGTAACAAGTGGATTTTAAATGTGCTTATGCCTTCAGTGCTATTCTTTTCCTGAAGACATGGAAGAAGATGCCACGCCCTGCTATACTGTCACATGATGCCCCAGCATGGCTTTTCTGACAGCAGCTAAAAGAAAATTCAAAACAGATGAAAAACTAATCAGCCCACTTACATTCTTGACTGAAATATGGAAAACTTAATGGAAAAAAATTCCAAATCTTTTTAAAAAGCTCCTTTGTGACCAAATATCATAAATGGCACTTAAAAAAATAGTCTTTGCTACTTTGCAGATGGTCTGTTGTCAAAAATGCATTCCTTCCTTCTTGATGTCAGAGGATGGCAGCTTTTCTTATTTTTTGTTGGGACTGGGGTTTGAACTCAGGACTTCTCGCTTGCAAGCAGGTGCTCTACTGTTTGAGCCACGCCTCCAGTCCATTTTTCTCTGGCTATTTTTGGACATGGGGGGTCTCTGCAAACTATTTTCCCTGGATGACTTAGAACCTTCATCCTCCTGATCTCAGTCTCCCAAATAGCTAGGATTTCAGGTGTGAGCTACTGGCGCCCAGCAGGATGGCAGCTTTGAAGACCCCTTTGCCCTCTTAAAAATCACTGAGGGGCAGGCACCAGCAGCTCATGCCTGTAATCCAAGCTACTCAGGAGGCAGAGATCAGGAGGATCAAGGTTCAAAGCCAGCCCTGGGCAAATAGTTCATGAGACCCTATCTGAAAAAAAAAAAAAACAACACAAAAAAGAGCTGGCAGATTGGCTCAAGTGGTAGAACGCCTGCCTAGCAAGTGTGAGGACCAGAGTTCAAACTCCAGTACCAGAAAAAAAAAAAAAATCACTGAGGACTCCAAAGAGCTTTTGTGTAAGTTAGCTCTATTACCAGTCACTCTATCAGAAATTAACATCAGCTTTATTAATAATAAATGTGTCACATGTTAATGTAAATGGCATATTTTTATTTTAAAAAATCTGTACTTTGAGAAACAGAAAAAACTGTACTTTGCAAAACAAAAACACTGGGAAGAGCGGCACTGTGTTCACATTTTTGCAAATAAATCTCTTTACTGACTGGCTTAATAAAAGACAGCTGGATCCTCATGTATGCTTCTGCATAAAATCTATTGCTGTTCCTTAGTTTGGCTGAAGTGTATGAAAAAATCCAACTTTGCACAGATATGCAGCTAGAAAATAGGAAGACTTCAAGACCTTTTTAGATTGTTGCACCAATGCTGGACAAAGTAGCTTCTCAAACCTAGTTACAGTATCAAATCTGAACCTGTAGCAGTGAACTTTTCCTGTTGGTTACAATAAAATGCACTGGTCAGTCTTGTACTTTGCATGGGTCTTTCCCTGTGTGCGACAGTACTACTTTATTCATTGGTCATTTAGAAAATATTCTCCCTGTTATATGCACATCTTCCAGATATTGACACACTTCATCATAATGTATATATAATATACATAACCACACGTGGTTATATTGCTGCCTGCCTCATCTTTTCTGAGTCTTTAAACACTTGGAAGCGGTCATATTAACAGTGGAAATACAAATTTCCCCAAATCCCAGTTCCACTTAGAAGCCAGAAATGTTATCCTAGGCAACAAATACTGTCAGTTGTTCACTTGTTTCCTTGAAGTGACAGACTTGCTTCAGTTTAAGCAAAAGTGTGCCAAATACTCAAGAGTTTGTCCCTTGTTCTTTGAGGTAAAAATGGTGG